GGGGGGGTAACTATGCAAACAAAAAATAGGTAAGCAATAATCAAATTTATCTCTTTTTTAAATATTTTGTTGATTAATTAAAACGATATTTGTTGATGAAGTCTCATTTTTAACCTTTTTTTTTTCCTGATTTTGTCAGCAATAATCAAGTTTATCTCGTTTTTCAAATATTTTGTTGATTAATTAAAACGATATTTTTAACATGAAAAAAAGAGAGGGAGGTAATAGACTAGCTCTAGGATTAACATAATCTCCTCTTCATAAGACCCAATCTAGAGCAATGTTCATTCTAGATCATGCCTAACTTGCGATGGATGAAAAAACGTCATGTTATATTTGAGTCCGGATGAGATGACTCTTTTCGATTATATTCAAGATTTGATAGAGAAAATTATTCAATCCTAATGAAGAGGATAATATTTGGGACCTTCAAATGAGCAACAACTAGCTATTATATTTATTTTGTTGTTGATCACACGTATCAAACGAATTTTAGGATTAGACATAGTATACCCACAAAAAATGATCGAGAAGAGAGCATAGAGGCCCCGGCGAAAATGTTCTCCTGCCCACGGCGGGTAAGTTTATCCTGCCCACCTGCTGATGTGGCAGGAGAACCCTACGTGGGGTTCTTTTCAAATGTGAGAACCCCACGTTGGGTTCTCTCCGAGTGGGCATTATAAACTTGCCCGCCGCGGGCAGGAGAACGGGAGCAGATAACGAAATAGATTATTCCAAAATCAGCATNTAGGTATTTAATATTTATGCTGGTCAAGTGAGTCCATACTGGAACCTAATTACAGAGATCCAGACCCAGATAAAGTCGGATTAAATATCTCGCATCAGTGAAATGCGACATATGATTTCGCTTCTTCCAAACACCGACGCCCGCTCGAGTTCAGTTGACATCAATGACATGTGTCTTCCCAATGCAATCTTTTCAACCGTAACGGCAGTGTTTGACCTTGCTAAAAAACCCATCAGAACATCATGATTCAAGAACAACCCAATTAAAACTAACGCTAAAATCGATTATTCTTTTTGCGTTTTGTAACTCTGCAAAATCGAAGAAAAACCCAGTTTAGGAAATCCATTTTTCAAGGTAAAATCTTTCGCTTTAAATAATCCTTCTTGTTTCCATTTCTTGAAGTTTATTCTGTTCTTGTTCTTTTATTCAAAATCCATATGAATAGGCATATTTCTTTATGTGATTTTATTGCGTCTTGGAGAGTAGCCCAATCCCGTGATTGTTGTTTCTATCTTCTAATCCATGTGAATTTTACAGTTAATATGCTCCCTCTGTTGGTGCTTGTTTCCAATATTAAAATCTCATGGCTCGTTTGAGGTTTAGCCGTTTAGACGGATGGAATTGCTAGTTTGAGCTTTTTAGTTCTCAGTAGTTTTGTCTTGGTCTTATTATAAAAGCTAATCTTATCTCTAGAACAATTATTTATTGTTTCAAATATGTAAAAATTGATGAGTTTTTTACTGAGTTTCAGGTCTGATCTTAGTGAGAAGGGCGATACAGTCAATTGGGCTTCCTCGATTTTGTGTTATGATTGATGGAAATGTTATATAATCATGGGAGAAAAGGCTCTTCACCTAGCGAAGATGGAGACAAAGACGAGTTTTTCCCTGTTGAGCCCGCTGAAGTTGTAGCTGAGAGTGATGATGATACAGTTAATCAGGTTTCCACTTACTAAATTGGTTTATTCAATCTTGTTATGTTTATATATTTGATTTCTTTTTCTCATGTTATAATTCAGTTTACTTCTCTCTGTTGGTGTAAAACTGTGGTTTTCTTCATGTATCCTTGGTAGCCTTGTCTGCAGTTATATTCGAATGCATGAACTGGAATTTTGTAATCAGTGTACGTAAGTTTGGAATGCATATTAGGCCAGCCAAGACTGGAGCTTTTCTGCTGTCTATATGCAAGGCAAAGGCGACAGGTGTTTATGAACCATAGTGCAGTTAGGGGTGTAAGGTTGGCTGCACGGCCTGTGAGGGCTGCCTATTGGCCTGCCACTGCCAGCATTTTTCTGGCAGCCAGCATCACCCACCCAGTACAGAAAAAGGAGGGACTTGGCTGGATTTACACCCTTAAGAATACACGAGTTCATCCCTTGAAATTGTTGGCAGTTTGAACTGCGTGGAATTGTAGACTGCTTGGTATCTTTCAGTGGATTGTTAATATTGAGTCATTCTAAAACTTTTCATCTAGCCATTTTGGACTACAAACAAGGCACTAAATTTGTTAAAATTGTATTTCTATGGTGCTGGAACTAAGGAAAACAATCTTTAGATTTGGTGTTTTATCTCGAAATTCAGAATGACTGGATACTAAGAGAGCCTTCAAATGAACAAGCTAAAATTAATAAAGCTGTTTGGGACCAATATTTTGATTGAGTGTGTTCTATGCTACACAACTTCACAAGATTGAAGGTCATAAAATCCAGTAATGGATGAAAAATGGTGTAGATCATGTTTGATTGCCTGTTTAAGTTGTTTTTATCCATTGAAACACCATATGATCATCCCTCTCCAGTATTAGTTGTTTGGGCAGTGCACTTCCACACTTAATTTGTCTTGCAGCTTTTAATTTTCATTTCAGATGACTCAGAATTCAGTGTTTTTATTTTGGGAACTAATCTTGAGCTGCAGGTAGATCATGGAGATCCAACTAATGGGACTGCATTATATTCCATCCAGAATTATCCAAATGATTCAAGTGCAGCAGAAGATGGGGGAAGGGAGGATATGTTTGTTGATTGTCCAGACGAGATGGAAACTTCTGAGACTCTTCAGAGTTTTGAGGACAACGATGATATCCAGGATTCTCAATTTGAAGAATCAGATATTGGGATCAATGTCCGAAATTTGATGGCTGAGATTGAACACTTGCGGGATATGCTTGCTGAGAAGGATAGATTTGCACAAGAATACAAGGTTCAATTGTCAATATAATTATTCCACCTCGTATATATAAATCTCTTGCATCAACATAAACTCTCCTTTCCATGCAGGAAGAAAGAGCAGAATTTACAAGAGAACTTGCTCATCTTTGTCATCAAATCAAAGCTTTAAACAAGCAACGATCTTTGCTTGGTGAAAATGGGGTTGGGTTGGTTGATCATCTTCATCAAATGGATGTTGGAGTTTTGGAAGAATATAACTTGGTATCTAGTACCTCCATGCACGAGACAATAAGCGAGTGCTCGAAGTTCCTTGGGAATGCTTTGAATGAATATTCACTGACTGAGGGTAAAATTAGAGAACTTCATTCTACACTACATATGAAAGACCAGGAAATTGAGATTCTCAATGCAAAGGTAGCTGACTACAACAGTTTCCTTTCTGAAGCTAACCAACTTAGAGGATGCTTGGCTGAGATTATATCAGATATCAATGTGCAAGATGAAATTGAAATTATTGTTATTGCCAGGAATAAGTTGCTTGAACTAAAAAGAAACGAGGAGTATCTTTACCAAAATCTGATGAATCTCAAAGTCGAAAACAGGAAATTGGTAGAACATATTGATAAACAGAACTTAACGGTTGAGAATGCAAATGCAGAAATTGGTAGACTAAGTGCATTAGTTGAACAGGAGAAGATGAAGTGTGCTAATACTAAAGAGAAGCTCAACTTGGCCGTGACGAAAGGAAAGTCACTAGTACAACACAGAGACTCACTAAAGCAATTATTGGCTGAGAAAACAAGTCAGCTGGAAAACTGTTTGATTGAACTGCAGGAGAAGTCGAGTGCTCTAGTGGCTGCAGAACAGTGTAAATACTTGTTGGCATCAAGTGAAAACTTGGCTACTTCACTCTGGGAATCTCTTGTGCAGAAGGACACAATTCTTCAGAAATGTGGAGAAATATTATCAGGGGCTGATGTAATGGAGGAATTGCAATCAATAGATTTCGTTGAGAAATTCAAATGTCTTGTAGATGAAAGGAATACACTGAAGGCTATGTCTCTGGAATATCATAGAATGAAAGATACCTTATCATTGTTTGAATTCCCAGAAACGGTGCTATCAAGTGAACTAGATGCCCGTATACGTTGGCTTCTGGACTCGCTTTATCTGTCTAAAGAAGAAGCAGTAAAGTTACAACATGAAATAGCTGAAACAAAAGAATCTTCTAGCAGTGAGATTGATTGCCTAATTACTTCACTTTCTACAGTAACACAGGAGAAGAGCAATCTTCAAGCAGAATTGGAGGACTTGAGAAATAAAAATGAAACACTGGAGAAGTTACAACATGAGGTAGTTGAAGCCAAAGAAGCTGCAAATATTGAGATTGATCACCTAACAAGATTACTTTTGGTAGAAACAGAGGCGAAGAATTATCTTCATGTGGAGTTGGAGAATTTGAGACAGAAATTTGAAAGGGTCATTCAAAAGGAATATTGGGTTTCTTTGGAGAAGGATCAAATGGTAAGTATGTTGATGGAGGCATTTGGAATTGCAAGAGAGGATCAGGAAGAAGTCTGCAAAGAGCAGTTTGACGGGACCATAATCATTGACAAATGCCTTACAAAGATGAAAGAAGAGATTAGTCGCCTTGAATCTTCTCAAGCTGGGGAGGAAATCTTTGAAAACATCCAGACTCTTCTTTATATTAGAGACCAGGAATTGAGGCTATACGAGCTAGTAGTAGGGGAAGATGTTTTAGATAGAAAAAAGGTGGATCTTCTGTTAAATGAGTTGGAAAAAGTGACTCAAGAATGCAATGCACTAAAAAATGAGAAGGCCGTTTTGCAGGAAAATCTTGAACTGTTGGAGGGGAAGAGCTCTCTATTCAGGGAGAAGCTATCTATGGCAGTTAAAAAAGGCAAGGGGCTCGCTCAGGAACGGGAAAACTTGAAAGGTGCTTTGGATGAAAAGAAAAATGAAATTGATAAGTTGAAGAGTGAATTACAACAAAAAGTATTCACATTGGATGAATGCCATGATAAAATCAGTAAATTGTCGCTTGATGTGGAGCGTATTCCCAAGTTGGAGGCTGATCTTGTTGCTATGAATGAACATCGAGATGAAATTGAGCGGTTGTTATCAGAAAGAAACAGCATGTTGCAGAGAATAATGGAGTCAATTGATGGCATTATCCCTCCAGCAAATTTGGCTTTTGAAGAGCATGTAGGAAAGTTGAAATGGCTTGCCGGATATCTCAGTGAATGTGAAACTTCAAAGATGGAGGTGGAACAAGAATTGAGGAAAGTAAAGGAAGAAGCAAGTGTTTTGGTCAACAAGTTATTAGAATCCCAGATGACTATGAAGTCACTAGAAGACGTCTTATCAGTGGCGAAAAACAATGTATCTCTACTTCTAGAAGAGAAGAAAGAACTAGAAGTTGCTAAGACATATGTGGAGGATGAATTGAAAAAGGCAACAGAGGAAGCTTATTCTCAAACGCTAAAGTTTGAAGAGGTTTCTGTGAATAGAAGATTAGTTGAAGATGCTTTGTTACTAGCTGAGAACAATATTTCCGAGCTCATGAATGAGAAAGACGTAGCTGTACAAAGAAGTGCTCTTGCAGAAGAAGAGCTACAGAAATTAAAAGAGGAATTTTCTATTTGTTCTAGCACGTTGGTTGGAGCTGACAAAACCATACAGTCCCTAGAAGATGCATTGTCTCAGGCAAAAACGAATGCTGCGTTCTTGGCTGATGAAAACAACAAGGTACAAATTGGCAGAATTGAGTTGGACAATGAGATAAAGAAACTCAAAGATGAAGCTGACTCACAGGCTAGCAAACTTGTTGATGCCTCCTTATCTATCAAATCGCTCGAGGAAGCATTGTTAAGTGCAGAGAATAAAATGGCCAAACTTGTTAATGAAAAGAAAAGTGTTGAACAAGAAATGTTAGCACTTAATTCTAAGTTGAATGTATGCATGCAAGAGTTGGCAGGAATACATGGTAGCACTGAGATCCAGTCTCTGGAGCTATCTAGTCAGCTTAGCCGTCTTCAATTGCTTCTTAAAGATGAAACTCTAATTTCCCTACAACAACAATGTTATGAGAAGAAATTTGAGAGTCTAAAGGACATAGATCTTCTCCTTAAAGAAATGAAGGATTGTTTTCTTGAAATTGACTCAGATGAGCCGCAGAGCTCTTCTGTGGTGGAGGTATCTTTTCTTAGTGAATGGACATGATATGTTTCTGTTTCTTCACTGTAATCCTGATATGCCTACTGAGCAATCTCTCCCTGACCCCCCTTGCCCCAAATAAATAAGTAAATAAAAAAGTAAGAAATTTGTTAATGAAAGATTATTACAAGCATGTAAATAGATTATACTCAACTGTACAACCAGGATTTGATTCAAAGGAGACTGGAAGGAAGGAAAGACAAAAATGCAAATTTATTTTAGATGTTCTTCTATCTCAGCTTATATGAAAGCTCATTTTTGTTGTCTGGCATATATTTCGATACCTTTGCTTACAAAATGCATGCTCTTTCTTCTTTAATGGTTGAAATATTGAATTTTTTCACGTCTCATTACTTGCCGAACATTTTGGATTTTTAAATTATTTTTGAAGCACTCTTCTGCTCTCTTCTCCTCCCCCCTGTGAGTCAATGAAAACAAAAACTTTATTGTTAATTCCATGATTCATGTAATAAAAATGGTTCTTATGACGTTCTTATTGGAGATGTTGAGTCTTTCATAGCCGATGGTCTCATTACATTTTCCCCTTTTTGTAGGATGATTCTTCCATTTCAAATATTCTACCATCTAGCTGTGATAACATTCGTAACGTGGAGGTGGTTAATGGTGAGGTGAATGCAGCTGATGGTGAGAATCTATTGTTACATATTGGGAAGATGGTTGAAGGGTTTCATCTGAAAGACAAGATTATAGCTGATAAATTTGAAAACCTCTCTGCCTTTACGGATGAGTATAATTCAACTCTGTTGAGAAAATTATATATAACAAAAGATAGAATGATAAGTATGCTCGAGCTTATAAAATCTCTGAAACAGAGGGTGAAGGATGTGGAAACAGACAAACAAAGGCTGGAGAATACTATAGTCTCTTTAGAAAGTAGTATGCAGAACAAATTCGAAGAAATGAAACAAACTTGTGATAGAGTGGTGGAAGAAAGGGATCTGTACAAAGATAGAATCATTCAACTGGAGGCTGATCTGGAATTACGAGAAAACCTGTTCAATGAAATGAGGCTTAAACAAGAGAATTGTGAAGCGGAAGTGGATAAATTGAAAAAAAGAGAAGCAGAACTTTCATCTCTGTATGCCACTTCATTATCAAAAGTTCAAGGTATGCAAGTGTTTCATATATTTAAACATCTTAGCTTTATGAAATTTAGCATTTGACAATTGACAGACATGATTTTAACATTTTTTTTAGTACTGTCGACTGATATACAGTCAACCTAACCAAACAAGCGCGTAATGTACTGTTCTGCCTCTCATCTATTTCTTTAAAATTTGCCCCTTTTTCATGATTTGTTTTAGAAATGGAAGACTCTCTCCTGACAGTGCCTCAGATGAAAATCCTCTTTGATAAGATAAATGAGATTGAAGTGCCAGACTCCGAGTTTGTAGTTGGAGGGGTAGAGCCCCATGACACGTCTGATGTAAAAAAGCTGTTCTACATTATTGATAATTTTAATAAATCACAGAAGATTGTAAGCGCACTGTTTCATGAAAAAGAAGAGCTGCAGTCAACCCTTGATGAACAGGTATTTGAAATTGAAAATCTGAATAATAAAGTTAAAGAGAATACAAAAAATGAGAAAGACTCGGAAAGGATGAAGAATGAATTGTTGGAGCTCGAATTGGGTCTGCAAAAAATTGTCAGGAAGTTGGGGGACAATGAATTGATTAATGATCATAAAGTGGCTGGTGTGATATGGCTAGTACCCTTGCTTGACAAACTGGTTATGGCCATGTTGGTGGAATCTGAAAATTTGGAATCCAAAATCGATGACCTTGGTGCCAAGTTGCACGGGTCCCAAATGTTAGTGAGTGACTTGTCCAACAAGGTTAAATTGCTTCAAGATTCTAATCAAGCTAGAATTGCTCCTTCAGAGGATGGCCACGAAAGAGGAACCTCTGAAGCTTCCTTGCCGACAAAGTCAGAGACACCAGAAATACAAGAGATGGTAAAGTTGATTTCATTTTATTAAACTCTGAATCATGTTAATAGAAAAATCTCTATATATTTGTAGCGTGGACACTTTAACTGGGTAGCATGTCCGTGTCCGACACGTCCTCGGTTCATTTTTTTCTTTATCAGAAATATTATATATTTTTAACTTAAAGTTATTAAATAACAAATATGTACTCAAAATTAAAAGATTTCAAAAAGAAAAATTAATAACAAATATAAAACTAAATTTATACTATATAAATAAAAAAATTTAAAGAATTTAATCAATGTGTTGTGTCAATAGTTTTTTAAAAAATCGCATGTTGACGTGTTCGTGTTGGTGCTTCATAGGTGGTGAGGGTGGGAAGGGGCACTATAATTACTACTTTCTAACTCTTGCAGGGATCACTTGGAAAGAGTAACGACATTTCTCCCGTTCCATCTGCTGCTCATGTGCGAACTATGAGGATGAGCCCGAGTGATAATGTTAGTATCGATATTGATTCCGAGTCTGAACGATTGGTTAACAATGAAGAAGCTGATGATGATAAAGGTTAAATTAAAAAATTGATACTTATTTAGACTACAAGAACTGGAAAATTTGCATTAAACTCTTTTTTTGCAGGTCATATATTCAAGTCTCTTAATACATCCGGTCTGATTCCAAGAAATGGAAAAACAGTTGCGGATCGAATTGATGGAATTTGGTAAAATGCTATGTTTATTCTAATTTCTTTAAAAAATCAAAAATTTCCCCAAAATTATCGGTTTTTATGTGCTTTACTGCATAACCGTGAAACTGGAGAAAATAGAGAGGATTAAGATCAACTGCTGATTCATGTTTATCTATATTTTTTTTGTAATTCTCATGCTTATTTTCAACTCAGGGTTTCTGGTAGTCGAGCTTTGATTGGTCGTCCGAGGGCGAGGCTTGGTGTCATAGCTTATTGTCTCTTCTTGCATATTTGGTTACTGGGCACAATTTTGTAACAAATCCAATGACCAATCACCTTAGACTACAGCAGCTGTCTGATATAATTTCAACTTTGTAACATATATGTAGTTCACATGATCATTCTTTCCAATTTTTCACCTTTCCTAGGTTGTCTAAAATGTATATAATTATAGCATTGAACCCAATTTAAATTGTTTGCAGCCAAATGTTAGGGATGTAGAAAATCCAGTCCCTTGTTCCTTCAGTTAAATGCTGCCATTATTTACAGATTCAGTGGAAAGAATGTGTTTTTTTCTTTTCTTAATCTTGTATATTTCGTTTCATGTAGAATTAGCATTCATATCAATCAATTGGCATGTTTGTGATACTTTTCTATATTTGTATTTTTTTTTTTTTCTATTTTCAGAATATAATTGATTCTGAATTGATATACGGAATGATTAATGATTAGAACAATCCATATTTCAAGGTTGATGATGATGAGTGTACTTTTGCAAATAAAAGGGACATTAATTTGAAGGCTTGTTGATAATTATCTTGCTTATCCAAAAGGATTGCAAAATGTTAATTATTTTCTTGCCACCAAACACTATCAAATATTCAGTTTGAGGTGGGGATTAATCATACGAACTTTCAAGATGCATTATAATCATCGATTTTGTCGTAATCTTCTGAGGGTTATGAAGTTGTGGAGCCAAATTCAGAAGAGAAATGTTTTAATTGCAATGAATCTTGCAATTTTGACTTTGACAATAGATATTGAGGCAAATATAATTGTAAATTGCTTTCAGCATTGTAAGATTTTGATGAATTTTAAAAATCTTTCTAAATTTATGTGTCCCTAATTCAGATTTTTAAGAATTTTAATGAAATTCGTTAAAATAGGTGTCCCCAACTAAAATTTTAATAAATTTCATTAAAATTTTTGGATCCTCAATAACTAGTGAATTTATAAAAAAATTGATTAATAGAGGAATTTTAAAAGATTTGAATAGACTTTTAAACAAATTCTATAAGAATTTCATTAAAGATGGTGAAATTTCAAACAATATTGATGCATGTATCTTTCTTCATACTTCGACTTACCGAATTTACACTTGACACAATCTCATACCACATTCAAACATTTAATCTAACAATTATAAAGTTGCCACATCATTCACCTGTCAACCAAGTGTAAAAGAAAGTGTAAAAATAGTTTTATCCAATTTTAAAATATTCTGTTTTATGTATTTTTAAACTTGAAATATATCTAAATCCACAAAATTCATTAGAATTTATTAATCTTTTGAAATATATAAAAATCTTACTTGATAGCACCTATAAATTGTAACCACCTTACAAAAATGCTCTAATTAAAAAAGAAAAACACATTGTTGGTGAGAGAGAGAGAGAGACCGAGTGACAATTAAGCCACTGTTTGGTAGTCATTTTTTCAAAATTGTTTTTTTCACATACTCATTTTCAAATATATATTCTTATAATAATATATTCTTCACGTAAATCCAAAAAAATTTCTTACTTTTTAACCACACATTCTTCAAAAATTTACTATTCAAAGACTTATTCAACAAAAAAAAAAAAAATCGTGAAATCTAAATATCGAAAAGACGTGTCATGATTCATGTGGACAGTCACCATCCTTTTGGAATCTTTTCCATTTTTAAACGTGGAAATATGTATTTAATACTCTTTTCCTTATTTACCGTGTAGTTATGGAGTTCAGAGTATACTCAAATCTTGTTAGATTTTGTTTTACAGTATATACCTTCTATATAAATGTAGACAAATCTTTCAAACACATCAAATTTCTTAAAGTATTTGAGTTGTAGACAGTACAATGAAATTATCATTTGCAATAGTCTCTGTGCTAGTTTTTTTGGCCTACATGGATCAATTTGTTGATGCTGGGGCAAATGGTCGACTTCCATTGATTGTTAATCCTCAGACGATTGGATTAATGAAGGATGAAACTGTCATTGTTTATCGTACTTAATTTTTCCTTTTCAAGATTCCTTTCTTTTTGTGTCTGTGAGCACGGACTTGAAACCAATTTAATTTTGGTGAAGGAATCTTGAAAAACAATTGATATGAAAAAATAATCACCTGTCTTTGTCTTCCAACCACTCTTGAAAATTGCATCTTATCTTTTGACAATGATGTACCAACTTTTGACAATTGTATTACACATTTTTGATAATGGCATACCAACTTTTGACAATTATCCGCCTATTTTTCCATTTCCCGCTTTTTAAATTTTACTTTAGTAAATATATTAAAGTTTTTCGTCCATTTCTAATAATTGGCAAGGAGAGTAATAATAATTTATTTGGTGGCATACACATTTTGAATAATGAATCTTTTGATTTTCTGAACCCTAAATTCTCTTAGTTTATCAAGATAACTGGGTTCATATAGTCATTTTGAAGGAGTGTTCTTTTGAGTTTCTTTTTCAATTAATTCATCAATATTTTCTAAATCAAAGCGCATGTCTTCATTGGTTTTTTTCATAATCTGATGAATCTGCTTGAGAAAAATTTTCTTTTGAATATGATTTCTTTGATGAAGATTTTGCAAGAGCAGGAATTCTTTCTCAAATAATTTGCAGTTCTTCAGGAGTTTTGCATTGGCTTAACATAGCCAATAATCTTGATTTTTCCGTGAGGAAATCGACACTTTTGTCAAGTTCCCTTTTGGATAATTTTGGAATGCTTGCGTTCCTCTATTTTTAAATCCATGAATTTATTGCGTTTGGGCAGTAATTCGTCTCATGAAATTTTGACCGCCATTTAATTTTGAGTCTCCGAATAACTTTTTTGACATGTTATTCAGATTCTGGCTTTTGAACAATTTGATAGCTCCAACAGAATATCTCTGAGACCTTTAAATTGTGATCAAATTGAAATAAAAGATTTTCTTGAGGTTTCAAAAAGGTTTTTGCCCCTTTTTTGAAATGTTCGAATCATTGAAGAGTAAGACTAGACAAAATATTTTATTCAAATCTAAAGTATTCGAACCATTTTTGAAACCATTTAGAAAAATTTGTAGAACAATTTTGATGAAAAAGTATGAACCAAGAATGGGTAACTGGTCTAAAATAAAAAAAAAATAAATCAGGCTTCTTGGTAATCAAAATAATTGAAAAGCTATTCAAATGAATCGTCTTTTGAGAGACGCATTCTCTTCTCTTTACACTGGTCATGTCCCAGTCTTCGAATGACAATACCTATTGAATTAAAATTTTAAAAAAATCAATATAATTTTTTTTACTGATTTAAAGTATGAGTTATTATGGCTAATCCAGATTTAATAAGGATAGCATTATAATAAGCTCTATATTTTTTATATTTCTGGAAAATATTGAAAAATTGGAGGGAAAATATTTTCAAGGCATTCTTCTATATATGAATACCTATGAATCCAATATGTTTCCATCTCGAAAACAAGAGTATGAATACATTTTGTAAAATATTAAAAGGGTGAAGGAGGATTGATATTTAGTAATTTTTCAGATCCTATTTGGAGGATTCTTTTGAAATTTGAAGGATGTTCATAGATTTTCTGAATTTGAGAAGATGATGTTTTTGAAACTAAAGTAGATTTTTGAGAGGTATGGGAGCTGTGCTCATCAAATCCTCAATTGGGAAAATTTCATAAGTAAGGGATTAAGTATCACTAATTTCAAAATTAAGAATAAATGTCTTAAATTTCAAAAATCAGGTTTTTATTAAAATTTATTAATGATTTAATTAATTAAATATATTAAGGTCACAGATCTATAAAATTTGGTCACAAATTAACCATTTAATTAGTCACATATTATTATTCGATCACAAATCAATTAGTCACCATTCAATTAGTCACACTACAACCTCCTAGCACCACTGCACCACCTCCAACAAACTACCACTTTCAACTTCAAAACCACCACCGCTAACAACAAGATTCACCGTCGCCACCACCACCAGATCCAACATAATCGCCGCTACCCAAACACCACCACAGCCCCCCATCAACCAACTGAAAACACAACCCAAAAATCCCACACTAGATCGCGTAGGTGGAAATCCCGACCATAGCACAAAAATAACCACTACCGTCACATACTAGACTCGGCGATGAGGAGCTGTCGCGGCGCGACGGCACGCTATGCAGAGCTACCCCTATTCGTGGGGAGAAGTACCGCGCTGCTACTGCGCCTCCGATGCCGCGCCTCAACGTCGGAGTGCCATCTTATCGGAGTGGAAGAGAGATGTGAAAGAGAAAGAGAGTGGGAGAGGATAAGGTGAGGGTAGAGAGAGAGTAAAGAAAATGAATTAGGTAAATGATTAGGGTTTTGGTTGGATGGTTATATATGCATATTAATTTGATTTTGTAATATAATTAT